TAGAATGAACCATTTTTTTATACAAAATTGGCGGAAAAATATTAGAATAAAAATTGTTGCATATATTGTGAAAAAATTTGCTGTGCCAATACTTTGTTCCGGCAGTGTATGTATGTATGTATATTAGAAATATACTAACATAAATTTTGTTCGCCTTTGTTCGGCGACGGTAAAACCAAGAACACTACTGGGAAAATATGTCTGTAGATGAGGAGAGTTTTTCTGGTTTCAAAATTGGTTGAAAATTAAGGCCAAAATCGTCGTTTAAATATTTCCGTATTTGTCTATAGTTGTTTTGGCAACCTGTTCCCCTTGAGTTGTATTCGCATTGAAAATTAAACTTTGTAATAAAGATAAATGCGAGGATGAAGAGAGAAATGAAAACGATCAATAGAAAAAGGCGAAGACAAAATTGAAGATAAAGATGAAAATGAAAACAACGAGAAATACATAAGAATTAGCGTAACTGAAAGGGCAAGAAAAGTTATTGAAAATTTTCAGTCATAAAAAATTTAGTTATCAAAAAAGTTATCCAGTTATCGAATCATCGAAGTTATCCATGTCTATTGAGTTATCGGAACGTATCGAATTATTCAAATTGATCAATGTGCTGCCAAAATGGATAGTTATCGGATTATCGATATTTGTCAAGTTAATGAAATTCATCAAGTGATCGATGTTTATTGAATTATTATTATTTTTGGGATTAACGAAATTTATCGAGTTTTCTTAATGCATCGAGTTGTTGATATTTTTTGGTTTACTGAAATTTGTCGAATTATCGAATCGAAGTTTTTGTAGTTTTCAAAATATATCGAGTTATTAAATTTGAAGGTCTTATAAATTTATCAAGTTATCACTGCTTATCGAATTTTATCGTGTTACCAGAGTGTAACGAGTTATCGAAATTTGTGAATAGCTTTAGCAAAATATGGCGCTATCAAAATCAACCGAGCTATCGAAATTTCTAGAGGTATCCAATGTTTATCGAGTTATCGTTTTACTAATCCGACTTACCGACACAATGGTATATGCATGGAGTCAGTGTTAACCAGAGTTGGTGAAAACGGCCCTTAGTTATTTACTTACAAATGTACATACATACATATTTGCACATCCTTAAAGATAAAATCGTATACCTATCATTTCATAATTGAAATTATTATATTTGTCTTAAGCGCGACCTTCTTTTCTAATTTTCCTTGTTTTCCATTGTATGCATTTATCGCATATGATTTAAAGTTTATTTATACCTACATACCCTGCAAACCATTTTTTTAGAGTATTCTGAATTCTAGACAAATTTTAAAAAATTCATAAAGATATCATCAAATTTTTTGTCGAATTTTCTAAAATAAAATAAACTGTGCACACTTTGATTCATTTACGAAATTTCGGAAGAAATTCGGTAAAGCAATGAAAATAGTGCTGCTATGTGAAGAATTTCTTGCAGAATTTTTTTCAGAATTTTCTTCATTTTTTTTTACGAGTTCGTGTCAACCACTTCATATAATTTTCTTTGACGATTCGTAAAAAAATCGTTACAGAAATGAGATACTCCTAAAGATTTCGGGAACTTTGGTTTGCAGGGTATGTACCTACATACACATGCTTCTTTTGCAACAAAATTTCTTAAGGCTATTTATACCTTTCTTTGTTTTTGTTTTTATTTTTGTTTGTTTGCTACGATAAGTTAAGAACAAAGCATAAGAAATAACGGAATAAATATTTATATTTTCCCTGAGATATGTACATATGTGCTATGTAGATAAGTAGAAGTCATTAAGAGTTGCCAGAACGAGTCAAATTCAAAGTGCTTTGTATTTGGAACTTGTATTTGATTCAATTCAAATTACTATATGTAGGTACACCAAATGCGCACGCGTTCTCTTCTGAATCTTGGTGCATATTCTTCTATTAATTGAAACTTTTTTTTTATTTGTAGTTTTTATGGATGTAATTACATATCGTACGCCGTCTTTAATAGAGTCACAACTCAACATTTGGCATTTTTGAGATTATGCGCTAAAAATGTACACAGACCTTTTATTTACCTTTCAGCAAAATCTGGAGCAAATTTTTGTTATAATTAAAAAAGAAACCCAAGGTAAAGTCGCCCTTGCCCATATGATTATCATGTGCTAAGAAATAGATTTTCGCATTTCCTGACAAACGCATTTGAAGACGGTGTGCGATATGTATGTAGTTTAAAGCGTTGCTATTTATTATAGGCCCGTAGTTAGATTGGCGAATGTAAATTAGAAATATGTACATACATATGTAGACGAATTGCATACCTTCCCAGCTAGCAAGAAAACGTTCCTACATTTTACGAACATTACATTTTACGAAAGGCTAAAAAAATTGAATAGAAGGATGCTTGTAGTAATTTGTCACCACAAGAAAAAGTTTTCATTTTGTTGGAAATTTTTCTTGAACCACAATATTTTTTATAATATATAGGTAATATTCGCATACGAATGCTTTTTCGATCCATTTACGACTGCTACTCCGCTCCACAATTTCAAGCGAAAGAGTACTCGAAAAAGAATCGTAAACGGTTATCGTAAGTGGCTATCACAATCGACTTTTTATATGGGTTTTTTTTGAGAAAATATCCAGTTACGAGCTCGTTTACGATGATTTTGCTGGCTGGGTGGTATTGCTCTTCTTGCCAAGGCAGTCAAGAAAGGTGAAGGTAGCCAAAATCTTTAAACTTTTAATTTGTGCAAAATTTTAATGAAAATTTTGACAAAGTTTGAAATTCCAGTTTTTGTTACAGTATTATTCATAATTTTATATAGTTATTTTCTGGAGGCCTGCCTTTAAAATTGTATAGATTTTCTAGGGCAAACCGTAGATCGCTATTAGGGTGATTGACTCGGTTTTGTATTGTATTGTATTGGGTGATTGGGCGGTCTAATTTCACTTTTTAAAATAAATTAACTATGCCCGCGCGGCTCAATTTCATTTATGGATTGCGGTCTTAATACACGCGGTCATAACTTATGGAGCCGCATCAATTAAGAAAAAATCGATTCGCAAATTTTTTGGAGCCGATTCACGGATCGAATCGCAACAAAAAAATTGAATCGGAAGGACTCGATTAACCAATCTTCGATTTAAAAACGGCATCTTTAAGTCAGATGTTTATTCCAATATTCTTTATCTGCCTGGAGTGATTTTTATTTTCCGTTTTCACTACGAGAAATTTGGGTTGTACGTTTATTCCGTATTTAGCCGACCGAGCGCGTTTCACCTAAACACATGTCTGGATATTTTTTGTACGACAAATTTAATACTCGTATGTAGCAGAGTTCTGCATTTTTTTTAAGATAACCCACATTTGTATAACTCCTTCAAAAGCCCAATAGCAAAGTTAAAATTTTATTGCTAATGACTTGCTTTTGTGTACTTGATTGGCAACTTGGCTACCCACAAGCCAATGAGTTCTTCTGTTCGACTATCTATCGCCGTATTTATAAGAGTATTTATCTATGTATGTATGTATGTATATTAGGGCGGGTTAATTTGTATGCCAGATTTTTCGACTATGCACGTATAGCACAGAGGGATTCTACGTGTACTTCTAAGCAAATTTGCCGAAGAAGCCATGGGTAGCATGTTTTTATACAAAATTTAAGCACCTCTTTACGAAACGACAGCAGAATTATAAGAAACCTATTTTCGCAATTGGGCAAACTCCAAATTGATTTTAGATGTATGGTATCTTCGACAAATTTTCTTAGAATTACAAGTTTTTCTTAGAATCCTCGTATGCCATACGCGCATAGTAAAAAAAAATTACCGCCCTAATGTATACATATGTAAATGTCTTAAATGGGCGTTTTCAGCAGAAGGTCTCCCTCGAAAAAATAAAGGCATATATATAACTTATTTATGGGCGAATTTGGCTGCTTTTTATAAGCAGATTTTTTTTTATTCTCGCTAAGTTGCGCCAGGCTCGAGATATTTTGAAAATCGATATTTACTCTCCGATTTGTTTCAAATTTGGCATACATATGTACATATATAGTTGAAACATAGTAGGGCATAGATTTGCAAAAAATGGTCTCGTTAGGTGGCGCGGAAGTTAAAATAAAAAAACATATTCGACATAAAATTCCGGTTTTATTTGCTTTGAAAATTCGTTTACAAATAAATGTTTGTTCCACAAGCTACTCGAAATAGTAACAAGTAATTTTTAGCAAAAAAACCGACTTCAACTCTCTCATAAAAAAAAAATATATATATATATATATATCTCATGATCCACTGATCGGATCTTAACCAGATTAGTATGGGACCACCTCTGAGACACTACCTTTCCGATTCAATTATTGAAATCGGTTGACGGTCCAAAGTTATGCGGTAACATACATAAAAAAAAAATATTAGGGAACTGATAACCTCCTCGTTTTTGGAAGTCGGCTAAAAAAGGCAAAAGAAGGCACTAAATTGCTCGCTGATTCCGAAAATCGAGTTAATTTTTTATTCTATGGATAAGTTTTCGAGATATTTCCAGGTGTACATGGCGTATGAGTAACATTATTTTCTGCAAATTTTTCATACAATAAATCTTTGCGCATTTTCATATGACCACTTATTACTTCTTTATTTATCCATCGATTTTCTTCATTATGACCTTGATTTTTTTTTGTAATAGAACAGGCTTTAACACAGCTTTGAATATACTAAACGTGCGCTCGGCGTGAGTTGATACCATTAAAACGTGTGTGTGGAACGTTTGAAAGGTCTATATTATCAGGAATAAGGGCTATAATCACTTTTTGAAGGTACAATAGGCAAAAAAAAAGCAACATCAAATGTATATGGAATCAGGGAAAGCTAAATCGAATATAACTATACTCTATCTCTTTAGCAGAAAAA